CTCATCCCAATAAATTCCATATTATGCTGTCTGTGTGTGGAATGAAAAGGAGGAAATCTCCTTGTCTGTGGAGGTTGGCATGCTGAGAATTGCACTTTCCAATTTTCCACCACCCCTCTGCACGACTGTGGATACAAAAGGCAAGTACAGCACTGCCAACTTCAAATGTCTTCAGCAAACACTTTTTCTGCAAGGAAGGTGAGTTGCAGAATCCTCCTTCCCATTTTATCTTCACAACAACCCTGTAAGGTAGGTTAGGCCAAGAGTCCGTGATTGGCCCAAAGTCCCCTGTGACCTCCATGGCCAAGTGAGAGCTAGAACCTGGGATCCCCAATATTCTAAGCATTAGGCCACCCAGCCTTGCTTTCCAAGCTGGGATGAGGCTACGAAATAGCAGCCTCCCTCAAAAGCATTCAGTTAAGATTTACAGCAGCCCAGACAAATTTAACATGGACACATCCATTTTTCCCATAAACCACTGATTTTTACTAAATTTTTGATCCACGGTATCTGAGTCACACTGTCTTCCTTTCCTGCAGGAGCTTTTGGATTTCAGGCATAGCGATCAGCATCCAAAACCTTCACCACTTAGGTCTCTTCCAAATGCTGCTGCTGCTGGACTCTGCTTCAGAAATTTGCATGGGTTTTGTTTTTTAAGGAATCTGGGGAAAGCATCTGTCAAGTTTTTCAAACAGTTTGGTTATTTAAAATAGGACAGCCAGGAGAAGAAAAGCCCTTTTGGTGTCGTGAACTATAGTAAAGAATCTGGCTCCAGACCAGCTCCAGATTGAAAATAATTCCTTAAATAGGAAAAGAATACCACCATAGCCTGCTTTTGTTCAACACGTCGTGTGCAAGAAATCAAAATGTGAAGGTGAAGCGGAGAAGCCAAATACAGTCGGCCAAGAAAGGGTTCTGCACTGACCTGGCAGTGACCAGCCTCCCTCAGCATGGAGCCCTTCAACAATGTCAGACTACTATGCCCATTGCCTCCAACCAGCATAACCATTGAGGATGATAGAGGCTGGAGTTAACACATCTGGAAAGAATTCATGTTGCTTTTGACAGTGGATAACATTCCTCCTGCAACAGGATGGATGGGGCTCATTTCTCAGCACAAAAGCTGCGAGTCGGCCCACAGCCCTGGGGATGCTCCAAACGACTCCCCAAACAGCACCAGGCAATGGGGCAATGTCAGAACAGGACCAGAACCAGTATCTGGGCTGGCACAATCATGCCAGGGCTGAAACGGCTTCCTGTAGCACCTTTTCTTATTTTCAGAAACTGACTGAGAGCAGCAACCAGGTGGGACCAAATGCTCAGGCAACTGTTTCTGCCTGCATACATTTCATCCTTTTCTCCAAGTACATTTATTTCCAAATAAGTATTTCACATCAGAAGCAAACTCCTGTTTTCGTCTTGTAGTGGCAGTGCTACAATTTGAGCATAAGGAGCTACAAAAGAAGAAATAGCCATGGCGGAAATAAATAGGAGAGGACTAGAACCTTTGCACGTATTCCTACAGTACGTGCAAGAAGGTCCAGGGTCTAAGATTACCCAACTGTGCCACTGAACTCAGATTCAGAAAGATTCAGGCACGGTGAGAAGAAATCACGCCTCCTCTGATGGGAAGCATCAATTCCTAAAAAGAGGCAACCGAGGCAGGAGTGGGTGAAGGTTTTGGCAGCTAGCATCTTCTCTCTCTCAGCTTTGGCCAAGACTAAGTGACTTTCTGGTATGCTCCAAAGGTAATGAATAAATGAAGGGTGATTAGAACAGAAAGAAGCCAAGCAGTCCTCACTCCCACCTTCTTTTGCTCTTACCATTCTGCTTCCTCTCCTTTTATTCGCTCTTTGGGAGAAGAAACCGGTCACCTCCTGCTGAGGCAGAAAGTAACTGGAGTATGAAATAAGAGATGGTCCTAAAGAAAGCTTTCCAGAAAATCGCTTAGTCTTGCCTGCCTCCTACTGGTCATAGGAGAAGATGAACCCAGCATAAAGAGGGAAGTGAGCCACATAGTCCAAAATGAGAATTCCAACGCCTTCAGCAGAATACCTTCATTTAGCCAACTCCACAGTCACAAAGTACTTTGCTTCTGAGCCCTCTAGAACTATTCGTAAGGCAGCAGGAAGCAAATCAAAAATGGGGGCATGATAGAAGCTGGGATGCTTTCAAGGCCCTGGGTTCTGCATTGGGTTCCAGTGTTAAGATGGAAACCAGGAAGAGGCTGCAAACAAGTTAGGCTTCCTCAGGGGCTCAGATGATTTCGAGCTGCACCTCAGACCCTCCCCAGGGTTGCTGGGAAGAAACAACAGCTGCTCCCTGTGTTTTGAAAGCAAAGTCCACCAATATCTCAGAACTGCCTCCATCCTTCAGTGAAAGGTTCAGGCTCTTTGAAAGGCAAAGGCAAACCAGTTAGATTGTTTTCATTTTCAGGAAGATGGTATTACCATTAGGTTGTCAATAGGTAAGATTCTCCTGTCTCTGTAGACCAGAATGAGAGAAACCTGTGTGATTCTGTGAAAATAAGTATGATTTCATGTTCACAAAGGGAAGACCACCTGAAAAGGAACAAGTACAAAGCCAGGAAGAGACTAGTTGCCAGATGACTAGCCTTCTCCACTCTGGCACCCTTAAGATGCTTTTGATTGCAATTCCCAGCATCCCCAGCCAACAGGACCAATGTGCTCTACATAGGGATATTCTTGCGTCTTTTCCAGAAACTGTAGCTAGACTAGCAGGTCTCAGGGACATCATGGAGAGACCGCCTATCATCTATTTTAAAGTCTTCAGACTGGTGGTCAATACATTTCTGGATACAGTACAAGGTGTCGGCCACTACCTTTGATGCCCTTCATCCAAAATACTTTCAGGAGCACCTTTGTCCATACATGTTGCTTCCCTTACTGAGGTCCTCAAGCAATAACCTTCTGAAGTCCACCACTGCAAGGTTTATATCAACTCCCCAAAGGACTTTTTCAGTGGTTGTCCCCACACTGTAGAATAGCTGGGAAAGATATGTCTGATTTCCCAAATTTCCACCTTTAAGAGGGAGTTTTTAAAGTACCTCTTCCAACAGGCCTTCCCAGAGTAGTTCTCATGTCAGTTTTATTTAATATGTTGTCTTAGTCACTGTTAGTCTGAATTGCTTGTAAACCTCCCAGAGCTATAGGAAAAGGGCCAGTATATAAATATTAAGATTAAATAAATCTGGAAAGAACTAAGTTGGGGACAGCCACACCCTTTGAAAGGGTGGCAAAATGATTTGGTGCTGGGAAGTTAAAAATGCACCCTCGTGCATGCTTCCTCAGACATAACAAGGACGCATTCAGTGAGTTTGATTCACAGGTAAGTGTCACCAAGACCAAAACGCAAGAATCCCAAAGGACGAGGTGTCTATTTCCATCTGATGATGAACTTACTGGTTGCCCTTCAGCAAAACACTGACACATTTTTTCTCCATTTCCCCATGAATATCCACAATACACAGCAAGAGCAATGCTGACCTTCCCTACAGGATAGGTATAAAGAATACTGTAGGTCAGAGGTGGGAAGCTGCCACCCTCCAGCCCAAACCACAACCTCCATCAGTCCCAACCAACATAAAGAATGGTAAAGGATGATGGGAATTGCCAGCTAAAACATATGGAAGGTACCAGTTTCAGGAATGATAAATTTGGGTTGCACCTATTCCACCCTGAACTGATGGGGGTAATACATGGGATAAGATGATCAAGTCAAACATTCACGTCCCGTTAAATACTTTTCTTAAAGCAGCCATTATAAGTACTGTTCTGCTTTAGTATGTAAAATATCTGGGATAATGTGAACAAATTAATTGGCACTTAGCTCAATTAAGGCAATTGAGCTGAATTCCAAATGCTTTTACAAAGCATTGCATGGATTACAGGAAGGATTGGCCAGCACTGGCTTCTTCCTGCCACAAGATGGCCCCTGATGTGTTTGTGAATACCTGAACTAGCAGGTGGCGAAATGGAAGGACAAGCATCCAGTCAAAGCAGGGAGAATATGGCCTGAGACTTTAAAACAGCGATGGGTGCAATGGACTTCCTATTTGCTGGGTTGTATTTATACGTGTGCATTTTATTTACTGGTATTATGGTTTTAATCTTAGTCCTGCAACTGCCCAGAGAGCTTTGGGTATAGAATGTAATATATAAAAAGGTTTACGTACAGATTTCTGTGTTGGGTCAGGATAAAAGACCCCAAGAATGCCACTCGTCTCCTTCCTCAAGGCATCATTCCTTATTTTTGAGCCCTCCTGACACGCTACAATTTCAAAAAGATACTTACATTTGAATACAAGTGCATTATAATTCCAGGACATGTCTTTTTCTTACATTTTTCAATGTGTGCCTTCTTTCAGTGCTGCTGAAGTGTAACTCTACTGTGAGTGTGCTGAGACTTGATGTGTAGATTCCTAAGCCTGAGCCTTAAACACGTAGATGTATTATTGTGTAACATCCATTCACAAAAGGCCCATTCACATACTGAGGTTTTTCAAGCAATGCACCACGGCTAGAAACACTCACATTCACACCTGCATTTTTAAGTCTCAAAGTTACAAAACTATACATTTGCTAGGATTTTTTGCCTATGTATGTGACATGTGAAAGCTACCAAAAAGAAAAAAAAAAAGTATAGAGCAGCGGAGGGTAGATTTCAGGCTTGTGGGGCCTTTGTTTTTACTTCGAATCTCAAAAGCCACCAAAAAAAAGTGCAAAACATTTTTGAGGGGCACCGAACGGAATGGTGTCCACACACAGTCCCTCCACAGAGTCATTCTTTTGGGAGATACAGATGCCATTTTATAGCTGCTATTGTAAATCTGAGCGATCAACATGTCCTTACTGATCTTCTGCAAAGCAATCTAATATCTACCTGTGGTTCTGTCCAAAGGACACCCTTTTTTTAACATGTTAATCATCTTCCTTTAAACACAGGTGCCTTTCAAGTTCCCCAAAGAAATGCAATAGCCATAAAAATAAGAGGTTTAATCAGTATTAATACAGAAATAGGATACGGTACAATCTCATCTCATCTTCTCTGGGAAATTAAGGCTTAAAAATACAGGAACCTGAACACTTCCTTAAAGCCACTCTCGGTGGAGACAAGTTACTGAGCAGACAACAGCACTCAACTACAGGATGTTTATTTTAACAAAAGTTTCAGGAATTGTGCAAGCCAATGCAGAACACACTTCATTACAATGGCGGAATAAATAAAATTTAAACCTCAAAAGAGACAGTCCAAGGAAAGGGTAAAATTCCAAGTTCAGCCTTAAAAGTCTGTTTAGCCACAGTTCTTCTCCAACAAACTCAGCCCAAGATACCAACATCTGCATGAAGAGCAAAGCTAAAAACATAATTTCACTTTGTAGAAGTTTCCTTCCTTACATGTGGTAACCGTCTAATGCTTCTATATAGTAACACATGACAGAAATAAGAGCAACGTTTCAGAATTCCAGAAATAGAAAATTGTGAAACCGAAGGAATGGGGCAAGAGGTACTATAAAGATAACAGTGATTTATTTATTACTGCTCTCATAAAGGGGAAGACTGATGCATGTATAAATCCCTCCATAAGAACCATAACGCTTGTAATTATTAAAACATGGGAAAACCACTGTGGCAGATTCATAAACCAGCACAAGTTGGGCTTGTTCGCAACCTCAACAGTGGCACCTCATTGCACATTATGTCCAGTTCTTTGACTTAAAAGCAAAAAGGGCTCTATTCTGGGAAAAGGACTGCAAAGCAGATAGCTGAGGACTGCTGCCCTGTGCTAACTCTCGAGCGGACAGGGACATCACTCTTGATCACAAATGGTGACTATTATTCGCATTGCAAGGTGGTTGCTAGTAACTCCAGAACAGAGGGAGACAGGGAAAAGCTAAGGAATGCTGCACAATGGGTGAAAAGCAACTGGGGTAGTGGCAATGTTTACTCACTTCTTAATAGCAGTGATCACACAAGTCAGCTGAAATGGCTTAAATGGCTTTGAGTGCTCCACTTAGTCAGCATTATGAATAACATCTTAAAAAGACGGAAAAGGTGAGACTTTTGCAGAGCAGCAGCAAGAAAATTGGGCTTCCTGCGTCACTTGTTATTTCAAGCAAGCAGAAGATGCTTAAACTAACATAACTTTTTAGTAACCCTTTCCCCCTGCAACACACTCTCAAAGAGGGAGATTTCCAGAAGCATGGGATGGCACACTGAATTCTTCTCCTGCCTGATGCTTCCCCATCACCTAAAAATTTCCCTGGTAATTCTGCCCCATGCCAGCTTCGCATCAGAAAAGGGACCCATCAGATTCTTGTATGTAGCTGCAGTGTATTATGTAATGGAGCTTTTCAGATTAAAACTAGCATGTTGCTTGAGCACTGATGGCTTGGTCTCAAGTTCTCAACCATTCCAACAAAATAAGATATATTTGTATCCCTCCATACAAATATTAGCTCAATAGTCACTTCCATTGCAGCAAATGTTTATAGAAGGGCACTCGACTAATAGAAGAGCATTTCAATGTGTAGCTTTGTCGCGTCCTAAAGTCTCGGTTAACATAAGCCATGCAGTTTTATAGATTGAAATTCACCCTCAAATGTTTGAGACAAAGAGCTACCTTAACATTCCCTCTAACGGAAGAAAGCATGGGAGAACAAGTCCTCCCATTTGTTGAGTGAAGTTTGATCTTTGCCTTGCTGTGACTGTTTTACGTTCATACTTAAGTTTGGGAATGGATTTATAAGGTATGTTACAAAAATGAGGAAATGGTGTCTGTAGCACGGATTTGTAAATCAATACCTGGCCAACGCCAGGGGCAATTAAGTCTTCAAAAGGCCCGCGAGAACAAGAACCTGCACATGACTAAATTATTCCTATGAATGTTGGAATCATACCCAGTGGGACCGATTGCTTGGAACTTCCTTACACGCTTGATCCCATGCACACACCTAATGGATGTGACTAGTTTCTCAGGTAACAGGTGCACACTCCAACCTGAGGCCTCATAAGAACCATAGAGGAGGGGGGTACTCACAGTAACAGACCAGGAGAAGCAAGCCAGGGTGCTGGGTAACTAGACTAATGCGTAACTAATGCGTAACTAATGAGTAACATAATGCTGATTAATGAGTTACCAGAGAGTCCCTCTATATTGACCTGAAGGCTAACGGTCTTCTTCGCCCCTCCTAAAAAGCACACCCAATGCTTACCCCCACAAAACTTCTGAGCAAATTGCAAAACTGCACTCAGAAAACTGGCAAATTTCCCCATTAATGCCCCATTTTTTCACTTGATCCTTCACTATCTACCTAAGACTTTTTTTTATTGGCATTTGATCTTCTTAGATAACTAGCAATTTTTAAGCTATTTGCCCAATTTGTGTGTCTATTCTATAATCTTTTTTGTATTGATTTTTTTTGGCCATTTTTATACTATTAGTTGGTCTGAGTCCTGTGAATATAGCAGGGGAGTGAAAATAGAGAACTTTCTTTAAAGAACAAGTTAAACAGATTTGCTTATTAACAAGTACGGGTCTTCAAAAGCTGTTTTACTGTCTATAAGATACTGAGAAGTAATATCTACCCATATACAACTATGATAGCCAACTCAGAAAATATTGTAAATTCTAGCATTCAGGCATCAGCAGTGTGAATAGAGGGGTGAAAAGTGCATGTTCTTATTGTAAAACAATTTTAAGAACACCACTGTAACATCCATGACTTTCTTCTCACTCCTTCCTGTACCCAAGGGCCCCTCATCCACCTGTCCTCATTCAGACCTTGGTAAGGTCTCCTCTCCTGCCCACCCACCGAATTCAGCATCCTTACCACACCAAGGTGCACCCTCCATCTTTCACCAAGTCTTTCTAGAGCTTGGATGAAAAGCTATTGCCGATTACCCACCCAAGCCTCATGTTTCCTCATCTTATTACTATCAACGAAGGTCTTTCTTTTCCTCCCACTTCAGCTACTGAACGAGATGACGTTTCAGCCAATTCTTCACTTGGTGTCACCATCCTCAAGAAAGACACTCTTCACAAAATCATACTCTAATCAGTTCAGCTGAAATTTCAAAATAATCTTCCAAATATAGTAAGTGGATAAGGTTTAAGACAGAGTTGCCCCAAATCCCATATATTCGGAGGCAGAAATCCGTAAGCAGTAGCCACTTCCAAGGTGGTAGGAAAAGAGCCAAAGGCCAGTCATAGACTGGAGAAAAACTTGAGGGTGAACGGAGGGAAAAGAGCTAAGTGGGAACTTGAGTCCATGGGAGAAGATAAAAGGGAAATGAGTGGGAGATGTTGAAGGCTGGATACGCGTTTCTGCCCATCTTACTGCATGGATTGTATGGGCTACATGGAGGGATGGCTTAAATGACCCCAGTGCACAGCAGGGACCGGGAGACTGGATCACGCAGAATGCAATGAACTACACAGGGAAGCAATGCGACTGCATCCAACGCACGAATGTTTGACAGATCTGACGGCGTGGCGGACACAAATGGTGTGCAACTACAAAGCTGCAACCAAGTGAGAGCTCGTGAAAATTAACCCTTAGTGTCTTATCATTATTCTCACCATCAGTTTCTGCGCACCAAGCTGACCTCAAGACTAAACCTCAAACAAACAAGGAAATATTAGCACACTTAAATGGCGATCGCTCTTCCCCGCCACACCCACCTTCTGTTCATACCAGGTGCACGTTTCGCTGCTCTTATTTCAGAACGCTACTTAAGGCAAGTACAGCAGATTTCTTCCCCAACTGCAAAAACTATTACTTACATTGCATAAAAAATATCCAATAAACCACAGAAGACTGCAGACACACATTTTTCATATGTACGGAGCGGCAAGTCAAACTATTTGGCCATACATTAACATGACATGACCTCCACGATGATCAATGTGCAAGCGATTTCTCTTTCCCACCCCCCACCCCCAACACCAAGACTCAGCTTCTATTTTACAGACTACAGAGACCATTTCAACGACGTTTCCTGAGGCAGAAAGCTGGATAGGCTACTAAGGCTGCCGTCCTGTGCCATGAACCTGTGAATGCTACAGGTGGGAGTCTACAGGGCACGCTTACCCCAGGAACTTGAGGTATGTCAAGTACCGCCTCCTTGATTCAACTTTGCACAGTGTTGCCCAATCCACCTGAGAGCGCCACCTGGACAAGGACAGAAAGAACTAGGGGCAGTGCCTATACAATGTACCAATCAACTGACCAACTGAATCAACGTTAAGGAAAACCATGGCAATCAACTTCCCTAGGGAGGAATGGCTGAGCCTGGTGGACAGAAGCATGGTTTGTTCAGTGAAAGACTGAGGTACATTGCGAGACCAGATTTCTTGTGTACTTCAGATTTGCTCTTCACACACACACACAATTATCAGACAGAATATCGAAAGAATGTTTTAAAAGGAGTGCTCTGAACAGTTCTCCCAGTGTCCCTGAACCCATGCAAATTAATCATGCCACCTTCTTTTCAGCCAACATGGCTGCAAACCACAGGACGGTGCCCTGGCTGTTGCACGCAAAACAACACTGGAGTCAGATCCTTCGAGTGCCAGAGCACCTTCTGAAAGGACTCAACAGGGACCCACACAAACAGGCGTGCAGGAGCTTCCCAAGATGGGAGGAAAATGAATTACAGCAGGTGGTTTGAGAATTTTTTGTCAGGGTCAAGCTTGAAGACTGTACCAGTATAATCCCCTGCACCAGGAATGCCTTTCAGAGATACTGTATGTGGGAATGCTCACTGGCGCAGTGTCACCTCAGAATGAGCCATCTTCCACAGAGATGATGTTGCAAACCATATCCAGCCTAAGGAATAGATTTTGAGCAAGTCTGTGTGGAAAGCATTCTATGACAAAACACCTCCTTCTATGGAAAAATCACTCCAGGTCACAGAAGATTTGCATCAGCTGCTATCATGAAGGCAACCATTAACTATAAAGAGCACACTGGGCATTCTTGGTCCGTGGCTACACATGGGAACAATCAGACACTGTATGGATTTGCTTACTCAAAGTACTACAGATGTTTTGTTCAGTTTCTGTTTTAACTTGCTGTGGGTCAGAATAAGCAAACACAATTCTCATGTGTTAATTATATGCAAACAAAAACCTCAGTGCCTAGCTTCATGTCGCCATCCAGTGTTTTTACTGCACAACCTGTACAATGCTGGAAAAAACATACATACACACACATACACCCACACAGATGCAGTCCACCTCCTTAGGGCTCGGGGTTCCCTAGGAAAGGTCTATGCAAAACATTCCACACAGCAATGTAGACACATGTAAACCTCACTCCAGGTATACAACAACTCCTCTGAAATACAGCCTAAACATGTTAATAGCTTCATTTAGACTTTTTATTTAAAAAAAAAATTCACACACGCACACACACTCACACACTTCCTAGAGTGCAAAATGCTTAGTAAGTACTTTAGCAACAGAACACCACATTGTAAGTTGTACTTTTTCCTTAAAATAGTCGTTTCTTTTGTCAAACAGCTGCTTCCCCCTCCTTCGATGCATCCGTTGCCGGCAACAGACGCCCGAGCCAGTGAGCCAAAGCCCCAGCGAGCCTTCCTGGGTCACAGCCAAGTCCCTGGACAACGGCTTCCCTCTGCCCGGACGGCAACGAGCGTTCACTTGTACAAACTCATGGTTGGACTCTGGTACATGCACATGTAAGCGTCACAGAGCAGCCTCCGAGCACAGCCTTGGATCCTCCTCGAGTCCAGTGAGTGCAGTTCCTCAAGAGACATTTTCAGGTACTCGCCGACTTCTGGGCATGGAGTCACTTGGGGGATGTTAAAGCCGTTCTGGCCTCCTTCAGGGAAGAGACGAAAAGAAAGCAGGGAAATGCATCAAGGAGGAAAAACTGGCTTCTGGCTACCTCGCCCCGAAATTGTGGCCTCTCGTTGCCATGCAAGCAAAAGTAAGAAGCACTGCTGTGACTACAGGCCGATTTGATCCTCAGCATCTTCTCAGAGTAGCAAAATGCCAGAATGGACAGGATTGCGGTCACATCCTTTAGCTCTGGAAATGACCCTCACGGGACCCAACTCAAACAGGGATGGCCAAGGACAAAACACAAGGGCTGTGTCTTGATCCGTAATGCTTCAGTCACCAGGGGTAGGACACACTGATGGCCAGCAACCAGCACTGGGGGAGGAAAATTCCTACACCTGAGCAAGGGCACCTGGGATGGCACCCAGAGGCAAGGCAAACCTGCCCTCCCTCCTCATGCCTGCCTTTCAAACAGGAGAAGAGAAACAGTCCTGCAACTACCACCCTTCAGGAATCACTGCAGTCTGTGAACCTACCTTCCCTACACAGACACCCCTCGCCTGTTCTCACAGGTCTCTGTTTTCCCAATTACCGGATTTAAATATTTCACAACATTAAGTCACCAGCACATATCCTTTCAGACGTACAATCCCTTCCCACTGAACACACCAAAGACAGTGACACGCTTGACAGAAAGCAAAATGTCTGGATCTACAGGCTCCTAAGACTAGTTAGAGCAAGGATCCCGAAAGCGAGACCCAGGCGGACCTCCATGGGCAGCCACAAAGCTCTCCATTCCCAGCCCCTTTCAAAACATGCTGCTCACACACGACACTGTGGCTCCATTATTCATACAGCTGCATTTTGGTGTTCCAGTAACTCAGCTGTTACTAGCACAACAGAAGGAAGACATTAAATCAAGGAGGCTTATGGCAGATCCTAAGAACACAGAAGTCAGACCCTTGGCCCACCAAGTCCACTGTTGTTGACTCTGACTGGCAGCAGCTCTCTACAGGGTAGGAGTTTTCCCCACTCTGCTGGAGATGCCGGGGATTAAATCCGGGACGTTTGGCATGCAAAGCAGGGCTCTGCCATGGAGTTACTGTACAGTCCTCTCAAAATGGAGTGCTGAAGCCAAATTTGCATACTGGGAAAGGAGTTCAGGTCTCCCAAAGCAGGCAGAAAATCAGAAAAGGGAGAAAGAAGGCGAAGCAAAAGGACATACCATCCCGATCGGCCATGCTGTCAAAGAAGAGCCAGGCGGAGTCTCCTTTGCCGTATTTAACAAAAGCCACATAGTGGCTCGTCTCTATACAAAGAACAGCAAACAACTCCATCTTCTGACAAGGTATACAGCCATGCCTCCAGTCCCAGTCCGGCAGATCTTTCGGAAGAGACACTGGGTTGAATTTATGACTTTGCCTTTTGGGATGCAGGTGAACCTGTAATGATAAAAGAAGGCTTAGCAACGTCTGCTTGCCGATCAGCTTAATAGCTACCACGGGTGCGGTTAATGACTGGACAGAAGTCCCCGGACAGCCTGAAAGCTGAACTTACCTGAGTATTGCAGGTTTTGCAAAACTGCTTGATTTTGCCAGCAGAAATGTCTGTATCTTCATAGCATTCTCGACATTCGTACATGGCAAGTCCACCACAGATGCGGCACTGCCGAGGAGCTGCATTTTGTGAGAGGAGAAGACCCGTTATCAAGATTTTGTAAGAGAAGCCCAAGCAGCCATTCCTTCGAAACAGGAAGCAGAACTAATTCTCACTAGTCAGCATACACTAACATACCAGGGGAAAAATATGGGGATGTTCTCTATAGGAAGTAATGGTTAGGTTTTCAATGGGCTTAGGCTTTTAATATACTTAAAACTTAGGGCATTTTGCTGAAATAGTGCAAAGGGCCAGAGATTCCTCCTACTTAAAAAGAAAAAAACCTTTTGCATGCATTGCTTCAGAAATGAATCCATGAAATCAAGCTACATTTCTCTCTACCCAAATGGACAACTTTGTAGAGGAGAGGGCTATCCAGGGCTGCTGGTCCTAATGGATGGATACTGCCTCCATTACCAGAGTAGTTTACACCTCTGTACACCAGTTGCTGGGGAACGAGGATGGGAGGACATCATAGTGCTGCAGCTCAGCATCTGGATTTCCCTGCAGGGATCTGGCTGGACACTGTATGAACAGAATGCTGGACTGGGGGATCCGTCGTCCGAGCCAGCATGGTGGTAATGCTCAAATCAGAAACACAGCAGCCCCCTGTTCCTCATGCACGCACCCCAGCAGCTGCACTGAGCCACTGGAAGTGCAATCCTGACCATGCTTCAATAGAAGAAAAGTCCCACAAGACCAAATATCCCCAGCCAGCTGAAAATGGCTGGACTTCTGTCAAAGCATGCAGAGGATTACACCCTAATTAAACTATGCTGTTCCAGTGTTTTTAAATGCTCAGGGTTCAGTATTTTCCTCTTCCCTTTGTCTACCAATCAAGAAGCTAATGAACTCAGGAAGAGGGTACAGGCCGAGTCACAGAGAAATCCCTCTACTTAAAAAATGAACCAAGTGGTCAGTGGCTCTTTTCATAATTATAATGAAGGGGAGAAAAATCCAGAGCAGAAGTTAGTTCAGTTGATCTTGTGTTGAGTGATCTATAAATGGATGCAGAAGACGACCATCATGGGGTGGCCAGTGCAGAGGCACTGCTGGACCTTAGTAGAACAACCACCTCATAAAGCTCAGAGGGTCCTGAAGGCAGGGTAAGACCCAAGTCTAACAATCTAACACACGCCATCTGGAAAAAGGACACTGGCTTTGTCTGCTGACAGGCAACTTTGTCATTGCAATGAGAGCACGAAGGGGGAACGTACGGGGGCAAGACTGGACCACTGCCGAAGCCCTTCCCCAGCCAGCTGCCAATGTGCTTTCCCTCGTGCCTGTGAAGAGGGTGCCAAAGCCACTTCGGCTTGCACATGACTTGTGAGCCATGATTCTCAGACTTTGCAGCAACTTCAGCCTTGCACTCTGGGAGTGAATAGTCTGCAAGCAGTCCAACAGCACCAGTCAGAATGCAATCTTTTCAAAACGCTCTAACACCGATCCTGCCACCATGTGACCCAAAATGTTTGTATACTCACTGTCTTCCAGTAGGTCTGTGATATTTAATTCCAGGGAGGGAAAGATTTTATTGAACATTTTGAAGTCCTTCCCAAATCGAGGCATCTGAATGATCAGGCAGGAGGGTGCCTAACAAAACCCAACACAAAGACCAGCATGTCAGACCGTCAGGCTATCTTTGGCTTTCTCTGCATACAGCTTAAGACACTTCTGGCAGCAAGTACTTTGGAAAGACAACACAGTCTCCAGTTTTCGTGCATGGGGGCCAGGACAAATAAAGACAGGTTCCAGCGAACATGCCTGTTACAGAGAAATTCACCATGTTCCACAAGGAATCCTCAAAAAATGTCTGTAATGCTACTCTGGGAGCATCTCGACCAGCACGTGAGCACAAAAGTAGCCGGGACTTCACCCTGCCCAACACACGTCACCACCCACAGATTCTGGATGGAGAGAGACTTTGAAACCTAGGCCCATGGTGAGCTCCAGCCTGCCTGCCATTTCCACGGCCTCCACACCGGGCATGATAGCTCCTTTCTAATCATTTTAAAAAGCTGTGAAGGAGTCCCACTGGGTGACGAGGGCTACCTTCTCAGCAGATACGTGCACTGAGTGTTATTACTAAAATCAGTAGCTAGCTTAGCAGCACTGTGGCAGTGTCCAATTTTCACAGCCGTTGAAAAAATGCAACCTTTCCATCCTTCCAGTTTCTTACAAAATTAACAGGCCACGGAGATGGTGAGTCAAGGTTACAAAAAGTAGAATCTGGAAGGCATAACCCTGAAACAACCATTTTGCTTGGACACAGGCCATCAGCATGACTTGTGAGCTGCACAAGCGAGTCTTAAAACATCACCACTTCATTTGACATCATTTGCACAATGAAAGCAGCACCTTCAGGCCAAGAGCCACAGGCAGGTCGTTCCTGCTGCCGCCCAGACAGGGCATCATGGCAAGGGGGGAGGGAGCTTACCTGGCTCTATCCACTAGCCAGAGACGGAGCAGCTGCAAAGAGCTTGCCTTCCCTCTCCCTGCCAGTAGGAACACTTGAACAGTTTTGCTGTTCACCACCCAGAGACCTTCAACCACTGGGCAGAAAAGAAGTGAAGTAAACTTGTGCCAGTCTTTTTTCTTTACTCCCTCCCCTCCCAGTCCTTTTTTCATTTAAAATAGTAAACCTGAAGGCAAAGTCTGTCTTATTTATCTTGTAAGCCACTCAGGGAAAAGTACTTTAAATGAACTAGGCTCCCATCTGCACACTGAGACAAGCTGAAGCTTCTTAAGTTTCTTTGGCGGATAGTTAAGTAAAAACTGTGTGATTTAAAAGGAATGAAAGATCACTGGCTTATTACTACTTCAAGATACTGTTCAGATACTACAGAGGCTTGATATGTATGACTCAGAACCTGCTAAAGGAAAAAGCATCAGCCAGCAAAATGATTACACAACAGGTAAGAACAATGGCAGGAAGAATAGGCTCCAAACCTCTGCAAATTTCAAGTTGCTGTTGATGAAAGACCATTCCAATAACTGCTGTATTGTAGGAACGCCAACTTTCTCATTCTTGTCCATAAAAATCTGATAGAAGTAGCAGTCCTGAACCTTCTGACCTGCTGATCTAAGAAAAGATAATATTTTAAAAACAGACTGTGATAAAATGTGGTAGGTTTCATGCTGCCCACAAAAGGTTCAGTTATCAGTACATCCATTTCAGCAAATGTTTTATTTCATAAAGCTGTGAACTATCTGTCAGGTGAGGGGGAGATAAAGAAGTTTGTACAATGGTTCAATAATACATCATTTTCTAAATTAATGTTGAAGGGAGTCCTTAGAACATGCTCATCCAGCCACCTCAAATACTACTTTGTTAGCTACAACGAAGGGATCTAACTATTCATTTGCTTGGGGTTCAGCTGTTTTCAGGCAGTCTGTCAATCTATATATAAAAGACTGCACAGTAAAGTATGGAAACGTTGATTTTCCTACTTCTAAACTGAATGTTCCACTTCACATGTCACAGCACGATCACAATTAGTTTGACTTATTACATTTGCCTATTTAATAGTACATCCTCATCACAGGAGGAGAAAAATTGTGGGAAAAGAAGGAAAGAGCCAGGAGAAGGCAGTTTTGAGTCCATCCCCCATCCCCCACATAAGGTTAGGACACAACCACATTTTTGGATCTGTGCAGGTAGAGGGGAAAGCAACTGAGCTGCACCTGTGTTTTCCAAGAATGCACCCCCAAAATCATAAAGCACAGACTGGAAAACTGACTTCAACTGTTGCAGTACTTAAGTAGAGGCATATCTTACCTTATTTTTAACAGTGGTTCTACTCTCAAAATATGATGAAACAAAATATTCAAAAATTCTTCTGGATCTGTGAAAAGAATTATATCATGGTATCAAAGTACGGACAAATAAAAAACTATTAGATGTTATATCCATGTAAATAAAAATAATGATAGCAATTAAAGGGTTAAAAGTACTATAACCCTGCTACATTGACAGATGGAAATAGTCCAATGCTAAAAAATTAGAAATGTAGTCCAAACACTTTTATATTATATTATATTAGCTATAATACACTGATTCTAAACACACCTTTTAACAATCCATGTTTACAGCATTCATAGCCAGATAACCATTAAAGAAAAAACCCAACACTCATCACTCAACAGCTCATCTGAGGCCTTTCTGCCAAATCTAGCCCTCCATCTTTATCACACACCATCAAAAGGCATGAAGATCCAGTGATATGCTTGGCCATTTACTTTTATTATACCTTCTGGGGAAATGTGTCAAATTCAGTTAAGAGCACTGTGTCCCAACCCTTTCAGATCCATCCTGAAAATTATGACAAATCAGGCCACTTCCAAGCAAGCGGTGATTCAGCAGCCTCTGATAATTTCAAAATGGAATCAAAATAGTCGCCCTTCTCCACATTTTTCAATTCATAACTTAATTCATACTTCCCCTTCATTCCCTTTGTGCTGCATTGCTCAAATTACCTTTCTCTTCAGAGGTGAATCCGGATGCTGCTTCAACTTTTTCCAGTATCTTCCTTAGTTTCATTATTTTTGTTGCACACACATATCCATATCTGAAACATAATACTGAGCAGTGAGGGGAGAGACACTGAAGCTTAAAAGAAAGATGGAGTTGCAGGCATACATCGTGGGGCATGCCGGTAAGTAGGGAAAGTAACTATCACCCACCCTCTTTTCATGGGCTCTTTCCATGGGTCAAAGGTTTCCAGAGAAGGAGCATCAGTGCATAGGCTCCAATGAAAAAGCCCGAGAAAGCATTCAATGGGCTCTTGAATTCATATGCAGAGCCTCCTGTATCAGTGGGGGTCCTCCTTCATCGCAGCCTTTTCTTTCCAGCTTTAAAGAGCTATCCATGGTGGTGAACCTAATCTGGAGTGGAGTTCAGCACCAAGGGTAGCACCCATAAAGTAGAACAGAAAGGCCTCCATGGATGAAGAGTCTCACAGAGAAGTTAACTGCCTCTCCTAGAGGCTTAGTTCTCACAATGTGAGACTGTCTGTTAACAGTCCAAAGACACTTTCAAAGCTGCTAGTCATATTCTGAATTCATGCATTTTTCCAAACACCTCTCCTAGGAATGAAAAAGGGACTCCTGTCTGCTAATATGAACATGTGTTCATTCCAGTCTTCCACTGAGGTTCAGAGAAACATCTACCTTGACACCCTGAATTCCTGAACTCAAAACGTTACAAATGCTGCACCTTGAAGACACAGCATGTAAAAATGGGGCTACAGCCACCTCAAAAAAGCAGTGTGGGGTACTGGGTTACAGATATTAGGTGGAGAATGTCAAGGGAGCCTAAGGCAATCCAATCAGATTCAGCGCGGCTCTCACTTTCAGAATTTTTGCCTTTGAGGAACCACTTCAAATACTGGCATGTGTGTACAGAAAGCCTTGAACACCTGCCACAGAATTCCCTGTGTGTTACAGTGTACGGGCGCGTGATCTAGAGTGCAGGCCAACTTCCTTCCTCTCACTACCTCCCTGTGTAAGCCAAGAACACATCCAGGCATCCCACCCCACCACCTGCTGCACAACTTGCAGGGGAAATTGATGTTCTTAAACTGGAAAGACCACTTGAAAACAACATAACTTTCAGCAGACTTCATTTGCCAATACTTACATTCGGAGAGGATTTACAATCTCTGTCCGCAGAAGTTCTTGAGTTTCACTATAATATTCTACATCATTTTTCTCTTTTGGTCTAAGCAAGACCGTGTCCAGAACAGAGCTGAATGCAAACAGGCTAAAAGAGGGGAGAAGTAAATTTTACTCTGGAAATACAGTGGCGACGGCAGCAACAAAACCAGCTACTTTAAGGCCAAAATGAACTGCTCTCTCACATCACTATGAACACTGCTTTTAACACAGCAGGGCCTGGAAGGTATCCCTTACTTGCCAGCAATAAAACCGAATGTTGGCAGAGAGTAGCCCTGGCCTTGCCAAAAGCGAAGACTTAAGTACAGACCACCTTGCATTATACAAAGCAGGCTAGAGCCCATATCCTTTCCATAGAGATCAAGTACAGTATCAAATATCAAAAGGGCGAGCAGACTTCAAAGAAAGAAAACCAAGCCAGAAGATAAAGCTTATTGAGTCCATCTTGATTCCAAGCCTCCAGATGCACGCTGTCTTCCACCTCTCCAAATTCAGAAGTGGAGCAAACCATCTCACATGCAAGCCCACGCAACAGCACCCAGAAAAGCAGCCCCCCACTGAGACCATATGGGACTGCAGGGAGGGGGCCCTGTCTTTATTACTCCCTGGTGTGGAGTGTGGCCCTACCTCTTTACTGCACAAAGCAGCTGAGGAGGGAAGCTGCCTAAGCCCAACAACAAAAGTTGCTAGTTGTGCAGATCAGGCTGTCAAGGACGAAGACTTTTGGGGGTTTAGAGAAATGGTATAGTTACTGGAATGGGGCGAGGAGGGGGAGGGGTTACTGACATGAAGCACAACGAGTTTTGTAGTTTCTGGGTGTTTTTCAGCCCAGAGGAACTGCAGAGCATCTATCCAATCACTGCATACCCAGGCATTTTTCAAGGGTAGCACAAAATGGCAGGAACTACAGTGCAGTAGAAGAGCACATTCTTGGCATGTGTAAGGTCCTACATACAAACCCCAACCTCTTCAGGCAGGGCAGGGCAAGGCAGGGCAGGGCCAATCAGTTTGGGCCAATCAGGTTTGAGTCAGAGTCCTTTTGAGTTGAGTTGAGTCCTTTTGAGTCAGGCCCAATCTGACTCAAACTAAGAGAGCTTCCAAGGTCTCCAGTAGCAGTACAAAGGTTGTTCACACATGCCAGTGCACTGCCCATCTGATGTTCAGGAGAGGAGTCTTCAGGCTTCAGACAGAATATTAGAGCTGTAGGAGGTTGATCTGTCTAGTTACATTCCTTGTAATTACCATTCAGATAGATTTTAGCAAGTTGCATTAGTCTCAGAGCAAGAGTGCACTGTGCAGGTATTATATTATTAAAGTATCAAAACTGCCTAAATTCATAGGACATTTCAAAAACCACATACCAGTTATCAGACCAGCATCACCCTTTGGAGCTTCTATATGAATTACACACGTTATTTTTTTCTCTTTTTGGCATTGTTATCATTATCCTTTGCCTTGGGGTTCAAAATGCAGCTTGTAATACTTACCAGAATAAAGTGGAGTCTAGGTAGCAGGAGTTGTAATGACCCTGAATTCCTTTCTTCTTGCCAATCATTGTTTCCAGACCTTCTTTTTCCATTTTTGGAGGAGTGTTTTCTTCAACCACTTCACTCAGGTAGCCTCCAAAAGCTTAAAGAAAAAGGTGAGAATAAGCAGGTTCTGAACTCCTCCATGGTTCCAAGAGCTGCAGCCGAAATGGCAAATGAAGTCCTTGGAGGGACAGAAGACCAAGATGATGGCCCAGTGATTCTCTGCCTAGCAGACAGTACCTCCTTCACAATCGCACAGCCTCCATTTTACTTTGGATATGGAGCTGCTGGAAATGGTTCCCAACTGAGCAACCCTATATGGTTAAGCACCCAAGAATTTTTAGGAATGCTGGGCTCAAGCTTTTCCCTGGGGACAGGGGCTGCACCATGTCAAAGTAACTTTTGCTTCCTAAGGCAGAGAGAAGTTAAGTTTCTGGCAAGAACCAAGCTGAAGATGTAAAGACTACATCCAAAAGGAAAGCTTCTATTGGAAAGTATCTACACAAAGCTCTCCTAGGGGCCTTTCTAGCTAAACAAGGGAGCAAAGGTGCTTTAAAAAAAACAAAAGTAAGCAACACACAATATACTGGACAACACAACTGCCACCTCAGTACAGATCCTATGAGACTTTGGCAAGATTTCAAAAATGCTTCAAATCTTTGAGATAAACAGAATCATGAAAGCTGGCATTTCTTCTCCAGACTCTTAAAAGTCCATGAGACAGTTGTATTAAGATATCTGAGTTGTTTGTTCAAGAGTTTCTCATTTATCAGCCATTTCAACTAACCTAAAATTTTCTTTTAAAAAATCTAACAATTACTATTTGACTACTAGTACAATGTAGTATGTTAAAAACCGTGTCTGCTCTTGGTAAATACACTGGGTAGAAAATACATTCCATGTATTTCTTATTGGAACATTAAGTGCAATTTTATAAAGCTGCCGAGAGACAGCTTTCTAGATGAAAAATGGTTTAAAGAGAGGGGAGAGATGAACAATACCTAAGGAGTTGCAACGTTCAATCTGGTTGGATACAGGCTGCAATGAAGCAAATCTGGAATCTGGTCGGCAGCTCTTCAGCTTCACGAAAAGCGCCTTCTTGGGTGCACAGGTAAAGTATCGTGTTCCTTTAAATGTCCCATCAGTACAGCCCGCACATTCATCTTCCTGGAAAGGCCAAGAGAATTTATCCATCTTAGTGGAAACACACACAGAACTGGTCCTATCCTGTTCTGAAAGACCCAGCTGTGTTTCTACCCTAAAGTCCGAGACTGGGGGCAGCCACATGATCTTGCCACAGTCATGCAGATGCTCCCTAAGTCTGTCTGCCCGATTCCATTTCCCAGAACTGGTTCAATGCACAAATGTCAACTCAAGCTGTGGAACGAGAAGTTGCGATGAGTCAAAACTCAGAAGCAGAGCAAAGGCTTGGCATGCAAAAGATGCCCGATTTAATTCAAAGGTTTAAGAAAGCTGTGGCTGGCAACTAGCTGCTGGACCAGATAAACCAAGGGTCTAACCCAATATACAGTATAAAGGTAGTTTTCCATGTGCCTAAGCAGAAACAGTCTGTACTTCTTCACAAAGAAACTTAATGCCACTAAGTTCAGATCAACTTACTCTCAAGGAAGTGTAGCAATGATTGGGCAGGTAGAGACTCTTCCTTGAGACTCGTCTGTCACCAAGCTTAGGTGAGACATTTAAGCCACCAAACACATCTTATTCCAGACCTTTCAATGTTGTGGAATGGCTGGGTTCACACATGCACTTGCAGGGAGCTCATCCTGCCTCAATATCCCAGCTGCTCCTCCTCCTCACACCACTCTTTCTGGACAATGGGAAGTCGGAGCAACAGCAGAGAAAAGTGAGGCTATCCAATTTGGCCACTTTCTTGTTTGCTCCAGGATAATTGCCAGCTGGCCCTGACAAAAGGGGCAAGCAGGAAACCGGATTTCTATAACCAGCGCCATGGCAAATCTGGAACAGAAACTGTCTGCCCCACACTGCAGCTTTTCACACTGCCTGGTGTCAAATTCCAGCTATATCACAAATTTGAAGTACAAAGTTTAACAGAACAAGAAGCCTTTACAAATGAGATGCAGCTGTACAGGAGGACTACGGGGCGAGCAAATGCAGTTGCAGGCAATTGTAGTTACCAGTTCAAGCCCTGCCAGCACTTCGTTGACCCCTGGCGGCTGCCCAATCCAGCGGATTACTCCATAGAAAGGCGGGTTTTCCTTCACTTCTGCCAAGGAGCCTGCTTCGAGCCCATGCATGTTGATGGCCGGTGCAGCTGCTGGTGGGCTCTCCTGGGCTGCCCCAGCAGCCCCCTCGCCAGCAACCGACTGGACCGATAAAGAGAGAGGGCTGTGTCCAATAGTATTGTTGTTGCTGGACATCTTTGTCAGACTGAAAGGCAAGGAATGAAATCTGTTCTCAGCAGATAATGTATTTGCGGGGGGAGGCTGCAGTGGCGGCGAAGAATGCCCAAACCCAGGAGAGGAGTCATTAAGTGATTTTGCAGAATCTTCAGCAACTGTTGGAATTTCAAAAAGAGAGTAAGGAAGAAAAAAATAAGCAAGCATATGAGAGGAGTTGCAATATTCAAGTCCCTACACTAGCACTCCATGTGCATGCCACACAAAAGGAGTAAAAGATACATGGACTCTCTGCAGGACCAGAGACTATTATGCAAGAGTGACCTACTTTAAGAGCATATGGGCACTCGCCCAGAAGAAACCCAGCAAGGTAAGCTAATAATGGACAGGCCTTTTTATAATGAGAGGACAAGATATTAAGCAGTGATGTGAACTTGGGTGAAGGAAGGGGAGATTCAGGCCGCAACCTTGTGGACGTTTACTTAGGAATGAGCTCTGATGGACACAAAGGAACCTACTAATAAGTAAACATGCATAACAGTGTTCTTTAGATCATACTTTTACCATGCTAGGTAATTCTAATAAAATTAGAGATCTGTGGGGGACGACAATCACTAAAGCATCATCAGACTTTGTGGCAGGGCTCTGCGTAAGCTACAACTTTCCTCAGAATCCTCTGCAAGCATTCAGGGTTCGCCTGACAAATGCGGTACTCAGCAGACGAGCCAGTGTGAAAACACTTCCTGAAGACGGAAAGTTTGGAGACCTCTGTTTGAATATCATTCAACATTTAGCTCCTATCTGGCTTCAACCATGTATTGCTTAAGACGAGAGGCTGATCAGGAAATTCAATGGCCATAATCCAAATGGGAGAAAAAGAAAGTTTGTGTATGCTACAAATTCATTCAGGTTTAAATGCTATGGTTTAAAAGATCCTGGGAATTATAGTTTAACACAGGTGATAAAAAATTCACCTTGAAGAGATTTCTATTATCTTCCCCTACCCAGGACTATAATCCCCAATTTTCCAAGGGAGAAAGAATGACTTAAAACCAGACTTCTCTGACCTCCTGCCCTTTATGTTTTGAGCAATTACTCTCAACATTCCTGATCACTGGCTATGCTGGGAGTTGAGATCTGAAACATCTGGAGAGCACCTGGCTGGACAAGGCTGACTTAAAATCAGCATGTCTGCAGCACAAACAGGAACAGGGAAAAAGAGAAACAAGGAGGACAGGGCTAGGGATGGCACAAGCCACAAGTTAGAAAGGAGAACAGCCTTCTCTAACCCTGAACCCAGAACAGTCCGGGTTCTAGTCCCTGCTCAGCCATGGAGCCAACTGGGTGACTTTGGGCCAGTCACAGACTCTCAGCCCAACCTACCTCACAGGGTTGTTGTTGTTGTGGGGATAAGATGGAGGAGGAGAATGATGTAAGCTGCCTTGGGTCCTTTAAGGAAAAAGGCAGGCTATACACCGAAAAATAAATAAATAAATGAAAGTGTTTGACAGCAATTCCCAACATCCTCAGTCAGTACTAACAGTGTCCCTTTTGGCTGGTGTGAGGTGGGTTGTGGTCCAACCCATCAAGAAGTAACTAGGTTGGGTCAGCTGTACTAATACCACCAATGGGTTACCTGAAGTTATGAAAGTTATGTAAATAAATCATGAGCTCAGCAAAAAGTCACAAGCCACTACTGCAGTAAGTTACTATTTATAATCATGTTGCATCCTGTGGCTGCAGTCTAGCCGGTCGGATAGGAAGAATGGGCTCCAACTTTCACAGAATGTGGCCTCAGGAGTTACTGTGTCTGGCAAGGATTCCAGAAACAGGGATACTAGTTCTTTTGATGCCGGGGGGGGGGGGCGCAAATGTACGTTTTTCCTTCCCTCAGACCCACTCCCTGTGTGTGCATGCACACCGCAACAAATTCCTACTCTACTGCAACAGTGATAGACTTTTAGAAGTTATTTGCACCATGGCACAGGAGTCATATTTTCAAAGGAGTCAGTAAAAAGGTAAACCCTTAAACCCTAAAACCAATCCAGTAGCTTACACAGCACAATGCCTAGCACAAAACCTTAACGTTTTAACAAAACAAAGCAAAACATTGTCTGCAAGAGCATGCAGTGATATTATCCTCCTCCTGCAAAGGAAACATTAGTTAGTCAAAGTTCCTTTAATTAAAAGTAAATATGAAATATGGCCGTATGATTCAAATGCACAGTCATATTCAGGTATTACACCCATGAAAGAATATAGCCTCATTACCTTCATCAATATACCATGTGTTTTTTGATTTCATTTGTGGTTGAGAATCTACTGAAGAGCCATTTAGTGTGTAGAAAAATTCTGATCTGTTTCTGTTTCCAGAGTCAGGAAGGGCACCTAAAACACAAACCACGTCATAAGGGAAATGCTGAAAATATCTACAAAGAGACTTTGCTATATGAATAGAAAGCAAACATTATCTTTCTCTAAAGAAAGCTCTGGTGCTAGACTTAGATGCAGAGGTTACAGAAGAACTGCAGAGCTTTGAGGAAGGACGAAATGGGTAGGGCATCTAGTGCAGGTTCTGCAATGTGGCAATGCCACCTCTGCTCAAACAGATCAACCAGTGTTACTTTGTGTGGCCACATGGACAATAACTTTCAGCAAACAAACTTGCATCAATTACCCATGCTTCATCTTAAGCTTTCTCCCTTCAGAGAAATTCCGTTCTCTGTTATATGTCAAGGCCAATACAAAAATATGGATCTCTGGTTGCCAAATTATTACTTGAGAAGGAATTTGGTTGGCGGAAATATCTAATTGGCCACTGACATTTGTTTGAAGGTTAGAATTTCCTGCAGCATAACCACATTGATGCAATGCGGCAAAGACAACCCACAGCACCGTAAAAAGACTAAACTTCATAACAGCAAGTTTTGGTGGGCTATAGTTCCTAGACCTTCCAACTAAGGACATGGTGATACACACACACACACACACACACACACATACGATGACATGGAATCTCATTCATGCAGCATAATAAATGTTAGTCTTAAGCACCATAAAGACTTTAGTTTTTGTTTCTGTTTCTGTTTCTAGATTAGGACAGTGCTTCTTAGTCTTTAGTAATGAACACCAATTGATTTCTACAACATTTGAACAAAGTGCTTTGTTCAATTTAACTTTACACTAAGTAGTAATCAAGGTGCCTAACTACAAAATACAGCCCACAAATATAAATAACTAATCAAAACACTAAAACTGTTAAAAAGATTTTTAAAAGGATCAACATTCGGCTGACCAGACTACAAGACTGTCAGTGCCTGTGAACAGCCACTGAGATTGCTGTTCATTTATTATTGATTAATTTGCCGTCTTTCTATACTGTCCAACAGCCAAAGCTTTAAAATGATTAAACCTTAAAAATACATTTTAATAATCATATAGATAAAATATCTATATGAAGGTGCACCTTCTGGTACTGAGTCCCAAGATGTATAAGGCTTTATAGGTCAAAACTAGCACCTCAAACCAGGCTTCAAAACATACAGGCAGCCTGTGCATACAGGTCAGAATTGGTCTTGTATGTTCATACCTTCTGGGCTCTGTTATCAGTCTGGCTGCTGCACTTTGCACAAGTTGCAGCTTCTGAAGAATCTTCAGCGGCAGCCCCACGCAGCATGCACTGCAGTAATCTAGACTGGAAGCTTGGGTATTCTTGTCCAGATAGCAGTATAGCCAACCCAGCAAGATAAGCTGGTGCCCAGGAATGGGCCATTAGCCAGCAAAACTATTGAAACATGGGAATCACATGCGACTTAGAACCAGCCCTGTTCAATATTCTGACTGCAGCATTCCGAAACAGCCGAAGCCGCCAAAAGCTCTTCAAAGGCAGTCCCACATAGACCGCATTACAATAGTCGAAGCAGATCTAACAAAGGCATGTGTCAGCCTAGGCAGAATCAACCTCTCCAGGAAAGCACATAGTTGGAGCATTAGCCTTAGTTGTGGAGAAGCACTACTGGTGACCAGTGGAAAATCTGGGCCTCTGAAAAAAGCCACGCCATTCAGTTCAGGATAACAGGCCAAGCCCTCGCTGGGCAGTGACTACGGAAATTGTACCCTATGCGCCCAAGCATTTAAATAAACTACCATGGCTCTTTTAGATTGCACAAGTCAGCCCTTTATATAGAAAATGTCCTCTTTCACGTTTGTGCAATGCAGGAAAAAGTAACCGCTTCTTACGGGCTGGGAAGCCCCTCTTCTAAAACATGCATGCAGAACCATCAACAATCGCCCACCTCTGAACTCCCAATTCTAGGAAGTGGCTTACAGAAACACAAATGAGCAAACATAGGAGTCTCTCCTGATAATTCACTAAAATAGTTGAGTAGAAGTACCTGTAGACTTGGCCTTACTGTGGCCGAACCCTTTGTCACAGCCACTTCTAGAAGTGAAACCAAGTTTAGGAGGTCTCCTGTCTTGAGACACAGCTTCTGAAATAAAGCCAAGTTTTAGTTATTTTAACAGTATAGAATAATGACAGCGCAAAGGTTTAAGGCACTAGACAATGTATGTTCAGACAGCAAAAAGGGCACAGAACTTCAAGCATGTCCCAACCGCCATGCTGGCTGAAGGGAATTGGAAGTCGTGTACCTTTCTCTGTCTAAGCATATATAGAATGACCCACTTAATGTGCTAGCTTCAAAGCAACCATTTAATACAAAATAGGAGCAAGTTTAGGATATAAATCCACCCACAGTACTCTTCAGCAGGGCTATATGCACTGACTAGAAATGCACATGGAGATCAGCACCTCTCTCAAATAAACAGCACTTCTCTGAACTGCAGCAACACCCCGGTAAAGAAAAAATGTAGTATGGAAACATGGTTGCCTTGGAGCATCAATGTTATTTAGGAAGGACCACCACTTCCATTCGCACAGCACCTCTGCTTTACTGCGTCATTCACTGAACGTGTCTGGAACCACCTTTTTATTCACTTACACAGAAGCAAGCATCATTTCAGGGTGCGTGGACTACACCTTAATGCTCTTCGGTCCCCAGGGGAACAGGAGAAACGGCAGAGGTGAGGTTCATCCCCCCACACCACCTGCACTGCCTTTTAGCCGAGGAGTCATTTTTGACCATCTAGCTGAGGTGCTTCAGCGGAGGGAAGAATGTTCGACTGCGGTCAAATCTCTTCATATCATGGTGGCCCCAGTCTCCTCCCCTCCCCATGTCCCAGAAAGCTGCTTCTCCAAGAGTTAATTTTCAAATCTTACAGAGGTAGCTGGCATGGTTCTTTCCATGACAGCTGTGATGGAAGCAGGGTGACAGCTTGGAGTCCCACCTCTAAGGACAGAGATCTGTTTCTGACCTCTGATCTGAGAATTAAGTAGCATATGCCCCCAAGAGATTATATCCAAGGGTCACAGGATTGCTCTTACTTAGATTTGTTCTCAGAGAAAAGTTACGCAGTTGAACCAAAACCCTAAGAACACATATTTCTCTCCCCAGAATCAGTTGGCTTGCACATGACAAAATACAGCCTAAACAGGTAGGCCACATGAAACAAAATTCCAAAGCAACTGACTTCAGGTTTATGTTCCTTGTCTCCCAGATTGGTTTAGGAGGAACAATATGCATCAAACATTTCACTCTCAACCTTTTGTTTAGTTTTACATTTGATAATTTGCTTACAAATGGGAACAGCTCTAGCAACAGTAACAAAAGATGATAGACCCATTTTTAAAAGCCTTTTCCTTTTTTTCGGCCACTTGAGGTCTAAGGAAAGAAAAATAGATTGATGTGGGGAGAAGAAAGCTAGACATGAATAATAAGCAGTAATTTCAATTTCAAAAGTTGGGCTTTTTCTGCTTTTCACTCCTCACCAAAATAGCATATTATCACATATACAGAAAATTCCTATATCCTCTGCACAACATCTGACAATTTTTAACCATGCCAGATATCCATTAAAGAGATGAAATAAAAAATGTGTCTTTATGTATCACAATTGGAATATAGATGCTCAATTACGTTTTAACCAAGCCTCCCCTTGGGAATAACACTATTAACACACTTCAGTTACTTACACTGAACATTAGCTTATCTCATGCCAGCCAGCCAAGAAAACATCCCATGGAAAGACTCATCTTTCAAGAAAAATGTGCTAGATTTATTTTTTTAATGCAAGAGAGAAAGCAAGCTGCTATAGAGAATTGCCTGAAGTTCTTACAAGATGACAATTACACTTAAAGCAGCAAACTCTCTATGCCAGAGAGAGGCAACCTTTTCAGACCCCTGGGCACACTTGTCATTTGTTTTGGGGCCTGCGGGCACATTTGTCACTGGCAGTCCAGCCCATTTATACCTATTTGCAGATTCCCAACTTTCCTGGCACCCCCATCAGCTTCTTCCTCCCACTCCTTCCTGCTCAGCATTTCCTACAACCACTGCGTCTCTTCTCACCCCTGCTGTTTCCCTCCTGCCAACCTCGCTTCCAAAGCAAGGCAACATGGTTCAGTTGGGGAGGAACCGTGGCAGCCCCTGCTCCTGACCATTTACATTAAAACTAGGGACCCGTTTAATCAAAGAAGTTATTTTGAAGCCCATAATTTTTGGGGGCACTGGAGGAGCAGGGACTGAGTTAACATTTCTTCCTATGCGCCCTAAAGATAATGTACATTCTAGCACCTGCTGCATCCTGTCCTGCAGAACACACCCGAGTTCCTATGAACACAATGGGAGTGTGTTCTTGGGCTCATGCCCAGCTTGGGTGCTTCCCATATTCATTGGGTTGGCCACAGTAGGGACAGAGCTCCCAGCTGCAGGCTTTGCATCTGATCTAGCAAGCTTTTGTCAATCTATTTGTGTTTTCCATCATTGGCTTCCTCAGTGACGTCTTGCTCAGAAAGACGGGCATTGGTTTTGCCTGAATCCCTTTCTCCTGCTCTCTTCCCTCACTTTTTTAGAAGCTTCTAAGGAAAATCTCCTTCACCATAACCCTGGACTCCCTTTTACAGGGAAGTTCCCCTGAACTGCCATGACACTCGCCCATCTTACAAGACTGCTCCTCCCAACCTCGCTTTCCATCCATGCCCAGCAGCACAACCTCTCCAGCAACCAAGCATCTTTCTGTTTGTCCCCACACAGATGCAGCTTGCCACAGTTGGTCTTCACAGGCTGAACTGACACCATCCTCTTGTTCAGGACAATACCATCATGAAGTCCAAGCAGGAAACACTCCCATATTCCAATCATGCATGCTGCACAGAGGCAACTCTGCTATTTGACTTCCAACCAAAAAACAAACAACATTCTGATAACAGGGATGAAAGAACAGATTGTCTGGGGTTCTGAGTACTACTCACAAATGCCAATTCTTTTGTCAGAGCATATGTGAGCATCACTAGGAACATATTCCTTTGGAGAAAGCGTAAGAAAACAGTCTAATACAGAATGCCCTCCTTGCAAAGCAAATAATACCAGACAAAAACTGAAGAGCCACCTGGAGAGGAAATACATATTATTTCTTGGCATCTACAGGCTTTAAAATATGATCGGTCAGCCTTGTAATTAAGAAGCCACATGGTCACTAGGGGCAAACAAGGGCTGCCTCCCCCTTTTCTTCCACCCAATTCTATGTCTCTTCTCCAGCAAACACCATGCCTGGGTTCAAAGGACATGACATCAGTTAAGTATGGGTTGTTGTTGACGTCTGAGTTGCTGTGTTAACCAATGGGACTAACAAACCACGGTTTGTTAACCACAGACGACCCACAAAGAGAATTCATGTTTTGCTGATGAATTGTGCACTTGTGCCATTTGTGGTTAACCAGCCATAGTTATAGTGTGACTGCATACCACACAAAAGCCCTTGATTCAACAGACGCCCATATTCAGACCATATTCTGGCCTGTTGGGTTGTGGGTTGTGTGAACCAAGAACAGCGATAAAATTTTTCAAGCAACAAGAAAGTCCTGAACTGCCAAGTCCTAACAGGAAGGACCTGAGAAGACCAGCAAACGGGTCTTGAAGAGGCAGGGATAGAAGTGATACATGCATAGAATTATGAAGCCTGAAGACTTTGAACAGCTTTCCCAGAAATCAAAGGTGGTGTAGATTAAATGAAAGCAGAGCACCACCACCCTAGCAAAGTCAATCACAGGATTAGCGGACTTGCTTCCCAGCCAATATTCTAAAGAATGTAACAAAAGGATTCAGTCCTGAGCAGTGCTAAAACTAGAATCAGATGCCAAAAAGCTTGCTCAGAATAGGTGCTTGCTTTCTTGATTTTGAAAAAACAAATAAATACAAAAGGCATACCTGGGATGACATCGTTGATATGCAAAAGAAGTGTACTTTCAACACTTGCAAAACTACAGAGCTGCTGTCCATTGTATCGTCCATCCCAATTTCCAATTGGATTATCCTAAAAATCATTTTTAAAACACCATTATGTGTTGCCTAAAGACATTCATGAAGGCGCCTACAATGCTCATTAAAAGGCCTGGGCTACATGCAGCCTGTACAGAACGCACACACTTAGACAGAAACACACCACACTCGCTCTGCAACAGCATTTCAAGTGGAGCACTTGTTGTATTCCTGTTCTGCCTTTAGAGAACAGCTCTGCAATATTGCTCGGCTTCAAATGTACTACAAACATCCATACAATGACGCCTACAACTTTTAGGAAAACCTCCCACATGGTGGCAGAGAAGCCAAGCAAGGTTTGTCAGCAACATGGAAGTTCCACATCTAAAGCCATTCGCCACAGGTACACAGATGGCTTTCGTGCCTTTCACGTATGCCAGAAGGCAGGCAGCTTCTAATAGTAAGAGGATATGGCTGCTCCCTTACAAAAATAGCAAAGGCAAGGAAGTACATCCATGAGTGCAAGATCATTTTTGCAATGAAGCCTTACTAATATTTAGCAGCGTAACAACTCAGCTTCATTCTCTTTATTTCAAACCCCAATACACCTTCTGATTTCACAATATGAGGGGAGAAAAGATGAGGAACAGCAAAAATTACTGAAATGCTTTTGGCACACATACATGTACACATGCTTTAAACAAGAGACTTGCATTCTTCCTGACAATAAAAACTGATATGCCCATTTTTTCCAGGAAAAAACTGAAAAAGGATCAGTAGTGCCAACCCTGAACATTATTTAGCAAAGCTGGCTGCTTATTAGAAGCAATTAAGAAAAGATATTTTTGCCTGGTCGGTTTCAAGTGAAAATTAGTAGAGCCTTGTAAAAGACCCTTACGTGAGTTTACTAGCCTGTCAGCCCAAATGTATCCACGTTAATTGTCCATGAAGCCCAGCAAATACGTATTTGTAAAGCTGTATCACCTGTCTCACTACGGACAAACAGGCAAAAGGCTTTCCCAAACCCAATGCACTGTCCCCAATGCTAAACAAAGTTGCTGGGTGGCAATTGTATATGGCAAAAAAGTCATAAATAGCTTACAGATTTTAGACCCACCCACCAATATTGCATGTACTTCTATTTTAACACACATGCAAAAAGTGAGAAGAGTCAGATGAATTTCTTACCATGTCCACTCCAACAACGTATCCTAAACTTTCGTTTCCTGGTAAGACATCACAGAATATAACTGTCCCAAACTCTATATTCTTCCCTATCTTCACAGAAACCCTGGAGTTGAGCTCCAAAGGAGGAAGGTCTACCTGCATTGAGTCAACTGGAGCTGCATAGTCATTCTCCAGTTCATTGTCATCATCTTCCACCAGCTCTAGTTTGTCTAGTGCAACAAACACTCCACAGTCCTCGTCACATCTGAAGAGCTGTTTGCCCTGGTACTGTCCATCAGTAAAACCCTGACCACGACCTTCTTCCTAGATTTGCAAGGAAAGAAAACGTAACTTGTTAAGTTCTCTGTTAACACACACCCCATCCTGAATTCCTTAAAGAAGAAATGGGGTCCAAGCATCATAAAGCAAGACCTGGTACAACGCATCATTTGCCCAGCAATATAGAAAAATGGTCTGACCCAATGTGTGATGCCTGTACTTACCAGAAGCTCCACTCCAAAATATATCCCAGAAAGCGATCTCTCTTGTATTAAGGGTCCTCTGAAGCGAACAACTCCAGGGTACTTCTCATCACCTGATCTCAGCTGCACTTTCACTGGTGAGCCAAGGTCAATGTGGAGGCCTTTGCACAGTCGACCTTTGCTTTTAAATATAGCGTATCTATCTTCACAACTGGTAATGGCCAGTAGCAGCTCTGCTCGTTTCTCATCGATATCAACAACTTCTTTCTCGTCCACGAGGAGAACTGCATGGGGATGCTCCAATAACTTGATACCTATTTGCATTTTTTTGCTTTTGGATGAAGGGTTGCTTCTGGTATGCCCTCCTGAAGACCGGTCTTGAACAAACTGTCCAATGCTACCCTTGGGTACTTTTAATAGCTTGTGAGTCTGTTTATCTATAATGCTGCATTCCTGGAGAAGCAAATAAAATATACGTTCTTCCCAGTAGGGTGAACCACCTTTCTCTTGACTCCACAAGTCCGAACTCATTGCGATTCAGGCTTTGTATGAACACAAAGAAGAATCTTCAAGACAGCCAAGTTGCCAGAATAACTGCAAACAAATTAAAAGATTCCACTAAAAGGCCACAGCTCCAATAATGAGTTAATGATTCTTCATCCATGTCCCAGCAAGCTAAATCCAGAACAGATGACCTGGGGCACAAAAATAAAAGATGGCATCACTGGAGGCTGAAGGACCCCATAATAAAAGTAAAGCCCAAGAAAACAAATCACTTTTGAAAGCAATCATCATCCCGGATTTTTATAGCCCTATGACAGCAACCAGCTGGCAAGAATGAAAACACTTTTAGGTAGCTGAAAAGGTCATGCTGAATGTATTTTCTGCATAATAGAACTGGCTTCCTGCTATGTTTTCTAGCCATCCTCACTGCCAATGTAAAGGATCAGCACTATTCTGTACAACTTCTCCATGTTAGTCTTATTTACACCTTTAACTAGAACACAGCTGTTTCTGATCACTAAAGCAGAATAGCCTCCCCATTTATAAAATGAGGATCAATCTAATATAATGTGATTTTGTGAGTTTTTTTTTAATTTATTATTTTACAGCAAAAATGAAAAAAACCTATGAATCTATTATTTCTCAACCCTACAGCTGACTGGAGCAAAATATTACAGAAGTGCATTTCTAATATTTGGGCATGCAAAACACTACAAATACAAAGCAAATATAATACCAGGAAAACCGCTAAGTAGATTAAGCATTTGTAGAAATGGCTGAGTAGTATTTGACTCTGTGGCCATACTATCAATCAACAGTAGCTCTTAGTGAGGGCATGTTTCTGGCCCTTAGATATGAGTTTTTAGAGCACTCTCCAATTTGAGCCTTTTTTAATAGTCTATTCAGAAAACAAGAGAAATGTGTATGTTAAAAGCTTCACTAAGTAAATACACATAAGCTACAATGTAGCACACTGAAGGAACAAGCTTTAAGGAAAGCTTTTTGAAGCAAGAGCCCAAACAAATACAGGCACTGAAGCCCCAGCCCCATCATACTGCAAAGTTAAGCCACAGAAATGCACGTTTACACAACTCTACACCACCAACTTTTTTTGACAAAGCGAGGTAGGTAGCCTTCAGTAGGCTCTCCTAGCTGCTCAAGAACCCTTTATTTGTGAGCAGGCCCACCACGGCTGCAAGAAAATGTAAAGGATGCAACCAGCCACATGGTTGGCGCCAATCATGCTGCTCTTTCCCACAGAATTGGCATTCCATGGAATAAACCCCACATGCTTAGTTTCAACCATGCAGTTGTGTCATTCAGACATTCTCCTAGTCATGTGGGAAGCACTCATAAATAAATAGCTCCCAAGTGGGCAGAAGAACATTTAAATACTACCTACATTGTCTTCATGCAGCCCAAATGTTCCATGACACAAGTAAAATAGCAGCGACCAACTCAGCTTCCTTTTTTTAAAAGATTACACTCAAAGATGATTGCAACTACTTGTTCTGAGGTATGCACCTGGCAAAGTCAAACAGATGCTTAGAAACATGCTCCCTGTAAGAACATTAACTGGACACTCATCTATAAGCTTGGGTTTGCTGCCACACAACACACAGAAACATCATCTGCTAGGACCAGACTTTGAGAAAAAGAGAAGCCAACTACTCTCACTTCGCACTGCATCCCAGAGGGTTCTGGGTGACACCGTTACAGCTGTATGGGCTTTTGAAGTAGAAAATCAGTTACTGCAGTCCAACTTGCTCCTTCCAAAATACTTACAGAGCTGATATATGGGAAAGGCTGCTGATGACAATTGCATCCACCCTTCCCTCCAACAAGCTCACCATGGGATTTTATGCTCAGACTGCCACAAGGGTACACTGAGGCCTACTACTCCAAGATGAATTTTTAAGAACCAAGAATAATGTCATTCATTAACAAATATTTGGCATGCTAGCTAAATGTACAGTAGTAGTGTGCCACTCAAGGTCAGATGCTGGAGAGAAGCAATGAGTACGCCTTCATTTTTAACTGTGTCTGTGAGCTTCCCAGAACATCCAGCTTGCTGCCACTGGGAAGAGGATGTCGAGCCTTAGTCTGATCCAAGAAGGCAGTTCCTGAGGCACAAGAAAATGGAAAACCAGAAAGTAAATACTATTGTTCTGCTTCCTTGCCCATGCATGTCTCTCCCTCAAGAAAAAAGCTGCTGCTCTGTGCAGTTCAGTATTGTACTGACTGTCAGAAGTTCTCCAGCACACCTGGAGATAACAAGGTTTGAACCCAGAACCTTTTGCTCCTGAAGTAGATGATATTCCACTTTCAACCATGGCTTTTTCCCCCTTCCTTGCTCTTGGCAAATGCTTTCAACATTAGTGAAAGATGGAAATGAAGTACAAGGGACTATTTTTCCTGTCTCTTTCCCTTCCCCTTATCATGGCCGTTAGAAAAGTCAAAACTTCAGAAGGAACTTAAGAGAGGATGACAAGATATTAGTGGGACTTTCCAGCAGAGGAAATTTCATTACAGATTTTTCTCCCAGAAGATGTTCAGCAAGCCAAAACTAATCTTACTTTTTAGAAACTGTCAAATCTTACCCAAAAGCGGTGGGAAGCAAAGTTAACAACCCAGGATTCTTTTTGCTACCAATCTGCTGCTTTATAGTGCATTTGCAAGGTTGATTTTTGATGCTGTATTTTTGTTTTTCTATTGCTGGCATCTATGTCATCCTAAGTCACTCGAGGATGCCTCGGAAGCCCATGAAGGTGACAGCCTGACTCAGGTTAACGTATTAGGGTCAGAGCAGGTATTCAGCTGTGCAGGTCTTTGACCCTGGGGGTACAATGGCTGACAGCCAATATTAAACGTCCCCCACATTAATGTGTCTAAACATTTCTTCAAAAGCCACCTAGCAGTCGTTATCACCACTGTGACTTATGGCATCGAGTCCCGTGCAACACACTGACACTTGCTGCACCAAGGAAAGTAATGGTTTATTGTGATGTAAGCTTCCACGGCCTCCTTTCGCGCAAGCATATTCCACCTCTCCTTCAAGGACATCAAAGCAGCACATCACCAGCCCTCCTTTCATCTCAGGGCAGATCAGTATGTGGAATTATGACTGGCCCAAAGTCACGTGGGAGCAGGAATCTAAACCCAGGCCTCCCCCAGTCTTTACTTGACACTCTAACTGCTACTGTCACTGGCCTTCTAGAGCTCACTTCTCCAAATGCATGTCGCATTATTATCAAGAAGCATATTATGAAACCAAGATTAGCAAAAGTGACGTTTAAGTGGAACTGCCTGTGACATTCCTATGCAAACTTACAAAATACCTACAGTGATTATTCACAATAGCAGTAACTAGCCATAACACAATAGCACAATTAAGGAACTGATATAATAGTTATGCTCTTAGAAATAGGGCTGCACACAAGTATGATACAGGCCTTCCCTACCAGTTGCCCGTTAATAAACTCCTTTTTGGAACCTTTTTGCATCTACTTACTCAACCTATCATATCTTGGTTTATTTAAAAAATAATAATAATAAGCCTCTTGCCAGTACATGAAACCCTTTGGTTCCTCCACCACTATTAGGCCAGGAAGCCTCTAATCAATCATGATTTCCCATTTCATTCAAAGAAGGAAACTATGGTTACCAGACTGAAAAAGGTCAGGATACTCAACTACATCCTGGCAATATTAGAGTGCAATCCTCTGTATGTTTAGACAGTTCTCTTTTACACCGGGAGATGTAAAGCTGCCTAAAAATGCACTGGATCGTGCATGCACTTAATACGGTACACAGGATCATTTGAAATTGTCCTTTCTCTGCCCACTAAGGTACACCTAAGCAAAATGCACTCCATCCCATCAAAAGCTTCTGACAGTGATCAAACACACCTATAGATGCTTACCTGGGAGAAAGCACCACTGAATTTGATAAGATTAACATCTGAGTAAACATACCTAGAATTGTACAGTGCCATCAGGGTATATTGCACAGGACTTGTTCTTTTCTGCAGCAGAATGAATGCTGCTACCCTTCTGGAATAAGTTAATAATTATGCATACTGCAGGAAAGAGATACTCTGCAGTATATTTGGAATAAGCGAATGATTACACATACTGTGAGGAAAGACACTTCACTGTTTGTATCAAAAATAAAAGCTAGACCTCTAAAATAAACAAGCAAAAAATAAAAATTAGAATCCCATGACTACCATCACACAATATAATAAATGAAATGAAATAAACATAGATTAGATTACAATAAAACTAGCAAACAAATAAATGTTCGCTGCTAATATATTATCACAGACAGATACAGTGCTTTATACAGAAAAGAAACTGGGTTCTTGACCCAAAGGGTTCACAGTCTAAAATTTGACAGAAAGGAAGTGAAAGCAGGCAAGATGTGGGGGAAAGTGCCACTATTAATACAGTATACAAAGAGCACTTGAAAACCCTTGAAAAAGAAAGCAAAAGAGCAGATTAAGAGGAAAGCGGCTGAAACTATGGCAAGCTCAAAAAGAAAATAAAAGACGCTTTGAGCTCCTCTAAATAGAAAGGCGGGATGCAAATCTATTAATTCATTACACAATGAAGGGACGGTGTGCGATGACAGTAACGCGAAAGTATTGCAGTACCCCAACCGGCACTGCACGATCGAGCCCGCTTCCCCGAGGTGAAAGAGGAAATGGCCCCACGCTCGCCCCAGCCGCCGCCGCCGCCACGCTTCCACGCAGCACCCCCGGCGCGGTCCCTGCCCCGAGGAGCCTCCCGGGCAGACCCCGCCGCGCGGCGGGCGAGGGAGGCGGCGGGCGCCCGCGCGCCGGGCCAGCGGCCGGGAAGGGCCCTCGC